TTGCATCTGCTATTTTGCTGTTATGTAAATATTCACGCATTCTTGTTATGAGCCATGTTCTCTGGACGATTATTTTTGCTTTAATCTTTTTTTCATTCAAAAGTGCCTCTTGAATTTTTAATTATGAAATAATTTCCCATAAGAACCCCTCGATTTTCATCTATTTCCATAAGCGCCCCCTCAATTTCCATTCTGTTTTCATAAGCGCCCCGTTTGAATAAGCAAATAAGTGCAAAAAATATTTTAAGCGCCCGGGCGCTTATTCGCGCGAGTACGGTATGTTGAAATAATTTTTTTAATCGAATTTTAGAACAGCGCCACCTATGATCTACAAGTACAGCAAGTCTTTGAAGTACAGTAACTTCATGGTTTATTCCATGTGTATGGCGGGATAAAAGTTGTCTTATTATTATGTTTTTATATTACATTTTCTTTAAAGAGATGGAAATTCACACAACTTGTATGATTATAACATCTTCTAATGTTGTTTTAAGAAATACAGCAGGGGAAAAAAATGAATGAAGTGCACATTATATTATTGGGACATCATCAGCAATAAAACTCTCTAGGCCCTAGCCTAAATATTAAATGGGATTACCCAAAACTCCAGACGATTTAATCTTATAAATTCTGAAAATGCCAGCCTCAGCTATAACTAAATTGTACATTGCTGTTTTAATCATAAATAATTAAACCATATAAAATAATATTATATTCTAAATTGAAGAGTAAACACTTGTCATATTTTATATACTTTTGTTGTATCTTTCTTTAACATGAGGCGTCGGTGGTGTAGTGGTTAACATAGTTGCCTTCCAAGCAATTGTCCCGGGTTCGATTCCCGGCCGACGCACGGATTTTTTATTTTTATTTTATTTTTGTGTTTCGACATTAGGAAATTAAATTAGGACTCAAGAAATTATTTATGTGTCAGCATTAACACCTTTATTTTTTTTTCCATGGTGTGCAACCAAACGTTCCTCTCGAAAGTAATCGCCAGGTACACAATCAATGCACAATTTCATGAAGAACATTGCAACAAGGTGCACACAACAGATGGTTTATAATGACAATCCTTTCAGCCATAAAAAAGAAAAATCAGCAGAGGTGTAAAAAAAATCAGCAAAGGTGTCACATTGGCAAGCACTCACAGAAAACGGAGATACTGATACGAAGTGATACTGTAGTTCTCTAAGAACATTATTGCAATACAGAGAGTAGTTATACTGTATTTCTTGATGCACACACAAAAAAGAAAAACTAAGCAAACAAACCATTCTATAACATATTTTTTAATTAAAAAAAAAGGTAAGTTACAAGGAAATGTAAAGCTACTGAAAGCTGGTCTGAAAACAAAGGCAAGCCCTGCAAAAATCTTCAATGGGAATTGAATAATAAAAATGTACAGAATTACACAATAGTAAGGCAAAACTTCTTTAAACCTTGTTTAGAGAACCATCCCATTACTACACTGTTTACAATAACCATAAAATTTTATATTTATTTACTCCTCCCTCTCTGGGTTATTTGCTACATAAGAAAACAAATTTTTTTTTTTTTGTTCGCCATTCTTTAACGATCTTTAAAAAAAATAGGTTTGCAAAACAAGGTATAAAAAAAGTCTCACCTAAATGAGAGAACATTAATTGTTTATGTAATTATTGAAATTGTTAATCTACATCAATTTGATGGAGATTAATTGGATTCTATTTTATTAGGGAGGTGTGACTATAAATTCTGCATGAATTAACTTAAAAAGATAATTTTCAAAGACATACATTGTAATTATCAACATCATTAAATGCTTACTGTGTTAACATATGGGAGTAATTCAATTAAAAAGCTATAATGCTGCAGAGATAATAATGTAGTCATACAAGTTAAGTCCTCACATGAACATTTCTGAATATGACACTTTCATCTTTCATAGATGATTGTCATTAGTGCAATAATGGGCACAGTTGCAAGAAATACAAATTTTGAAACGCATGTAGTGGGACAAGATATGTATATGGCAGGAAATATATTAAGCATGCTTTATCCTTCAATAAGAATGGAACATGCACTGAAAATCCCCTAACAAGGAACACCAGTGACTATTGTTAAATCAATTGACAAACATATAATTATTCATATCAAAAAGTTGAGCCTAAGGTACTACTGTTTAATTGAGTGCAAGTTGTACATTTTTTGCTCAAATAATATTCAGTATTTTAAACTCTTATATAATGAGGGACTGAATTTCATATCTACTGGATAGCTCACAATTACAATTGCCTGTAAACTATTCAGTAAGTCCACTTGAGACAAAAAAAAACAACAAAAAGGACAATAAAGCACACAGATCCATATCCTCATGTAGGGGATGAAGGTGAGTATTTTATAATTCTAATTACATTTTTATGATTATTTATGGCAGACATCATCATCATCAACATCTTGCTTTGTGCACAAGGGAATTATTATCAAAAACAAGCCTCCTATCTTCCATAATATCATAAAGATATATTATCTAAAGACTTCAAAAATTAATATTTTGAATTGATTCTTTAAAATGATGAAATAAGTTATAAACTTCCAATCTGACACAGAATGAAAAAGTTGACACACTTAAAAATAATCCTTACATTGCCTTGCATTGATTACCAGTCAATGCTATGCTAAGATTGTAAGTGTAATATTTGTGTATCAGCAAAAAAAAATATTTTATCATTCTATTAAATGTTAATTGAACTTAACAACTGACCAATTGGAACAAAGCCTGGAACTAGTCCCATAAATACTTCTGTTTATGTTGGCTCATACTGTCTTTTTGAGCGGAACCTTCTAACAATATCCAAGTGGTACTGCTGCTGGGCTTAGCGTAAATGCCTATTATTCAGTTGTGCCTATTATTCAGGCTCTTAATCAACCAACTCATCAATCAATCAATCAATTAATCAACAAGTACAATTTGCAAAGCACCAATGTCTAAGATAAATCCTATGTCCAGTGGTGCTAATGATGTTATGTGATACATACAGTATCCATCTCCAACTGCATGAATTTACAATATTTAACTTCTTCCTAGGGTGATCCTAAGTTTTTGACATTTTCTTTATAATGAATGTGCATATCTTATACCAAAACAATAAAATTATTTTAATAAATAAATAATGCAAAAGTAAAACAACTGGGGAATATACATCATTGAACTACAGAGAGTTTGTAAGAGCCTTGAAATGTCATGTTCGTGCACTACGTTCTGTTTCTGCAAGGCATTCCCGGACCAGAGCTCTTGCATGGACGATACCTGAAAAAATAAACAGTGATATTATGAGATGTTTATCATGAAAAAGGATGTAAAGACAGCACTTTATGGGTAGGCAAAAATTGATCTGGTATAGTATTTAGACACCTCTATCACTTGAATCATACTGTAAGGTATAATCTTGGAGGTTTACACATTAACATTGCAGTGATATACTTTTACATGTTCCTTGCACAATTTATTTTTAAACTTTGTGTGCCATGGGGTTTTTCAACAAGAGGCATTACAGTATTACTTAACACATTATGAGAACGTGTCGGTTTATAGGTGCTCGCTCTGGTTGAAACATTCTCTAACAGGAATCGCTTATGTTTCCTTATGATTTCAATGGCAAGTCAAATACACTAAAAAATAAATAAACCATAAATCTTTATTATTATTATTAAAAATGTTAATGTAAATTTCCTATTATATCTGATTTGTTTCATGCTTTTTGATGTTATTGATGTTAAACTTGATTCATAATTCTTTAATTTAATGGTTTTGATGCAATAAATTCAATTATATAATAATAATAATAATTATAACTATAATAATAATTACCATAGCAATCATTTATACTGTAATTATATAATAATTATAACAATAACAAGTAATTGTTATAGTAATTATTTATAATTTTGTATTTTTCTCTTGTTTTTTTTTTCAACACAATTTTATATTATCTTAATGTAAATTTCCTATTTTGTTTCTTGATTTTTGATGTTTTTGATGTTTAACATAATTCGTAATTCAGCATTTTTGGCTGCTATGTTTTATGCTTTTTATGAATTTTTGAATTTTGAATAAAATACCATTTATATAATAAACTAATACATCTCATTTTATATTAAGAACTAGAATAATAATAATTATTATTTTTCTAAGACAGCTATTCATACCTCGCTTAAGTCGTTCTGTGGCTGTTCTGCTTCCAGCATAAGTTGGTCGTATATCTCGACTCATGTCTTCAATTACTGCTAGCAACTCAGCATACTTGCTTTGTGGGGCAGATACACGCTGTGACCCTTGTGTATGTGGGTGTGGTGCTGTTAAATATACGAGAAAAAATAACATATTCAACATCATACAGTAATTATCATCAACATTTTTGTATCAAATGTACTTTACAGCACAGTACTATAAATTGTGCTGTTCGACATATCTTCGTATGTAAGTTCAAAGTTTATTTTTTCTCAATACACTTTTATGGTAGCCAACAATGGGAGATAGTCCCTGTACATTAATATTAATAATAATAATAATAATAATGATAATAATAACTCTAAATAATTTTAGTACATCATAGTGCAAATTAAGACAAAACAACAAATAAACAAAAACTAACTATTGGTTGTGAAGTATGCTGATGGATAGTGGTACAAACGCATCTATTTTTCACAGGTTTGTGATTTTAAACTATACCTGAGATTAGCCAAGTAAAGAATGTACAAATGTGTACTATATAATAATAATAAAGTTAAATTTAATATAGCACAAAATGCTAAACTATATGCCTTGCTACAGACACATTCCATGCCCAGGGCTTCACATTTCTCCTGGAGGCCCTTAGAAACTTACTGGCGATAATTTACAGTGTTTTGTGGTGTCACAGAATGTGTCAAACTCAAAGCATTTTCCCCTTAAAACTTGGCCATCTCAACAGTGGATATCATACACAAGTGCAACCTCCTCCACTCCATGGAAAATATTTCTAGTTATGTATGAATATCCAAAATAAACATGGTACCCACTAATAATAATATTCTGGGGTAGAGAAAAAAAAAATAGAAAAAGTGGCCAAGTGCTCAATAATATAAGAAAAATGGAAAGCAAGAGAATCAGAAGACTCTAGAACAAAACCCTGTACTGCAATCACCGCAAACCACTCCGGTCTTTGCTCAATACCTGAGGATGTGTGTGTTGTTCCCTGCTGCTGTCCAAGTGCTCTTGCAACCGCCACCTGTGCTGTTGTCTTTTCTCCATTCAGATGATGGTACACATATTGCTTAGGAGGCCTGACATCATTGCGCATTAATGCAGGTGAATTTCCTTAAATAAACAAATTACATAAATTAGCCATTTTCTGTCAAATAGAATAAATATTATATACAGTAATATTACAGGGGTCCCACGTTTGAAGAAATCCTTCCGTGACATCTGGTTAAATGAGCTTTCATAACATATTTAATTTTATTTTGCAAATATTATGAATGTGAGGGAGATGGGTTATTTTCCGGGAGATTCATGCTTGCTTTTGAGAGTGGAGGAGGTCGTCCCCATTTCCGGGAGACTCCCGCGACTTCTGGGAAACTTGGGACCCCTGATAAATTAAAAATGTTTATAAAATATTAGAAGGATAAACAAATAAATCGATAAAAACAAAGTGAAAAAATATATAAATTCCTGGAAAGAAATAATCCGTATGGTACAGCCTAACTCAGTTTAAATTTTAGTCTTTAACTGTACTTTTTAAAATTTAAATTAATAAAATAGTACTTTTTTATCAAATTATAATAATATTATTATTTTTAATTAAACCCATTAGAACATTTAATTATTTGTTTCATTATAAATATAACTTATATTTCATATGTTCCAGGTCTCAATGAATTTAATAAATTTTAGATTTGTATTTACACAGTATATTTAGCACCTCCACGTTCCTTCGTAGGCCTAGGCTACCGTAAGCTTTGTTCAAATTTTACTGTTTAGTGGTCACTGAATAGAGGGTTCAATGAATCCAACAATTGGCCTAATCTTATTCTCTTAGGCTAGGCTGGCTCAGGGATCGTTAATGAATGGTGCCTCTTCTAAATGAATATTTCAAATAGAATAATTACGTAAACTACCATGTAACTGATATTATATGCTTCTTGAAATAACATATCAAATAAAACTCACTATTAACCCTTGAAATATCCATTGATAATTACAAAATCGAGTTTTTATAACACTACGCAAAAAACTTCTAATCCGATCACTGATCGGTCGGTGTGAGCAGCTGCTTTATCGGTGAATGGTAAAGAACGGAACGATGCGATAGGTGAACTGGTGCTGGTTTTTTAAAACACAAACAAAACCAAAACAACATTTCACCAGCAAACAGATGGTGATGTTTCACGGCGGAAAATTCGTAACAAGTTGTACTGGTAATTATAATATTTTACTAATTAGATGTAATTGAACATTGTAAATGTTTTAATTAGCAAACTAAAAATATATGTTAATTTAAACTCTATGGCGTAGTCTAGTAGTAGGCTAGGAAGCTAGCAAGGGCCTAGCCTATGACATATGTATGTACCACCGTCGCCTACTCTACTGAGTAGTCCTAGCCTAGCTAGGGCCTACGCCCTCCTATTATAGCAGAGAGCAGAGCCGAGGTAGAGGCACTAGAAAGTTATATACCGCTGCTCTACATACCTGGCTAAAATCTGCATTGATAATGATGTAATTGTACAATTCATGGTTGTTGTAAATTTATTAGGTACAGTACTGTATGTATATAATAAATTTTGTATATATCAGTTGTGATTGCAGGTAGGTAGCAATGCATATTATTTAAATACAGAGAGAGTATACATCTTATAATTTGCAGATAATGGAGACATTTAATGGCAAAAAAGACCAATACAATGGGATTATAATTAATATAAAGGAGCACAAATGCGACTCAGAAAAAATCTTTAATGACCGGCTGAAGCGTGAGTATAATCAACATTTTTGACCATTATCTGCTGGTGGTAAGGCTCTATAAAAAATGTTATTAGTTTATCACCCTATCTGGGCAGGAAAAGTCATGAGGGAGGGAGGCTTTTTTTTTTAAATTTTTTATTTTGCTAAAGCCAAATATAACCCTTGGTTTGTTTGCTGGTGCATTGATATTCAAAGCAAAACATGATTTAGATAATGCAAACAATATCTACTAACTATTTAATAAAATAAATGAAAAAATAAATAAATAAAATTTAAAAAAATAAAAAATTAAAAAAAAAATTTTTTTTCAAACAAATTTTTTTTTCAGTACCATAAAAGGCATGCGCGAGAGGGTGATAAACTAATAATTTTTTTTATTGGGCCTAAAAGCCCAATAACATTTTTATTAGTTTATCACCCTCGCCCACACGAGAAACACACACAAGACGAGGGCACATTATTTTTTTCACGGTAAATGAAGGGGGGGGGGGGTGGCTAGCCACCCTATTCATCCCCCCTAGAAATCCTCCCTCCCTCCCTCATCACTTTTGTAGCCTCAGATAGGGTAATAAACTAATCATTTTTTTGATTGGTCCTAATAATAAAGTCATTGCATTCTTCCTTCTTGTTGCTCCTTACCAGATAATAATATCACTGAGTTCTTGCCGGAGTAATTAACGTAATTAATTGATGTAGCCATATATGGGTATATATAGAACTAGGAAATAGGTGTGATATTCATAGGGCAAAAGAGAAAGTATGTTAAAAATATATTTCCTGTTTTCTTTCCTATATTTTTTATGTGAACCCGGATACAAAATTTTTTAAAGTATCATTTTTACAATGTGTATTTAGGCTTCATCAGTATTTGAGTGCATCAAGAGTCAATAGTCAGTCAATTGATTGAATAACACTTTTGCATCATTGACACACCTATGTGGTGTAACCTTACAACAGGAAGAAAATAATGAATGTATATAGAAAAAAAATAAAAACGATTATTAATATGCCTTAATAACATAAACTGATGAAAACATTTAGTGGAAAAACTAGGTGGAAAAATACTGGGGGAGGATCGCTAAGAAAATACCTGGGGAAATACCGGTAGCTGATTTTCATCTTCTATAAAATAGGAGCCATGTTCACAAGCATGATCGTTTGTTAAATGTTGGTAGTGGACATGGCCCAGAGGTTGCGTTAATGTACCGTATTCACTTATAATGGAAAAATTATTTATCAAATGATTTACTTTTTTTTTTTACTTTTCACATGGGCCAGATTAATGGCTCTGGGCTGTGTTATTTTTTGCATAATTATATATATATATATTTATTTTAATATGTTATCTACAGTATGCAGTTATATAAATGATGGACACATTCCTCTTTGAAGATTGAATTCTTACTGTATCTTCTGGTCCCAGCTTTTAAATTGTACATAAGGCCCATTTGTATAATTTTTATAATAATGACTAAATATAATACATATTCAATAATATTTCTCTTAAATCTATTTATACCTGTGCTATCTTATTTTGTATGATCAATTTGTGTACTTCTTGATTATTCTTTGATCCCCTAAATGTTTTTTGTTTTAGATGTTTTATTTTATATTTTGAGAAATTTTGTATTGTCAAATCTCCCTTTTTGATTGCAATAAAGATAATTTGTATGTGACTTGATATCAGGATTATATCTCATGACTTCGAATCAATCAAAAAATCTCTAATCGGTGGTTTTCTTTTTCACTTTACAAACAAGGATATTGTGTACAGGGTGTTTTCCTACAGCCCTTATTATATTGTATTTGGTTACAGGCTGATAGCTGGCCAATCACCCGCCATTGCTTACTCTCCCCATTCTCTCCCTATCCCTATAAATCACATTATAAATTATAATGACATGAAGAGCTGACCTCTAGCATTGGTGTTACAGTTGACCTCCTTGCCTCTGAGTGAACAGGTTTTTATTTTTGATTCTCTTTGGTTTAATTTGTGAAAATGGGAATCAAAAGAATATTGCATGAAAACTGATGTGTCCTGATGTTTTTCGTTCGTTTTTACTTTGTCATAATGCAAGCTTTGGACACATACAAATGTTTCAGTACTCTTTATTAATTAGGTTCATTAGAGGAATGGAATACCAGTGGAATACGAGGTGTTTGGTTGAAAATTGCAATAGAGTGTGCTGCATTCATAGCTGTGGCTGCCAAGGTATTACTGCTAAAAGAATTTCTCAACTCTTTGTTATACATTTTTTTAAATCCCATCATTATTAATTAACCTTAATTGTTTTTTTTGTAATCATTGAATTACATTTGTACAGTCTATTCTTTGAAGTAGAAATCCCAATATAATATCTCTCAAAATGTTATTGTTTGCTCTAAAATAGCAATGCTTTGCATTATGTCTTATTGTCATTATCATCTCATCATTATCATATCATCTTTATTATTATAATCACTGACATACTAAATATTATTTATTATTTTTTATGCTGTGGTTAATACAGTATTATTGTAAATTATCAACTTTCTAAATTATGTATATATTTTTCCTCATTGGACAAGGTTGTGGTCCCACTGCTAAGCTGTTATTCTTTATTTTAACAAAAGTTTTCCGCAGTGGCAGATCCTACCACAACTTTGAGAATCACTTTTATTAATTTTGGTTTCTTTATCTAGCATGGCTTTGTTTTTCATCATGCTCAGACAGATTATGTAATGATGATAAAATGGCTGCCAACAGATGAACCCAATCAGCTTCCAGGGTATACAACCCATTACGTAGGTAGGACACATTTTTAAGCAAGTTGAGAGTAGATCCAGGGAAGAGAATATGCCTGTGGATCCACCACAGAGCTGGTATTGTAGCCAGTGGGATATCTATGGATAAGCATGAGGAGCACCCCTTCCTAAAAAACAGCTTGTGCCCACACTACCCTAGGTCTCCCCCTTCCCCACCAACCACTAGAAATTCACTGAGCAAAAAAATTACACTCTAGTATTTAGAAATCACCCCATTTCACCATCTTTTGCTAGCTAATTCTCCCTCACTCAATCCTTGAGCCTCTCCCCTCACTTAAAATCCACAATCCCCATCAGCTCCCATGTCACTACCTCTGGATACACAATTGCTGTAGCAAAAAAACAACTTACATAATAATCATAATGCAACTGAATATGAATAAGTAATAAACCCATTGTTTCTAAATTGGTTTAATCAATATTAATGCATAATGTTGATGATAAATAATACAGGATTTTAATAATAAAAACATATTGATGATGGTAATAACATGTAGCTCAATCTTGGTGGTTCAGATGTTTGCTAACAATCTCATGAGTATATGTACTGTAGAGCATTTCTGTGTATGTTTGTTTAGTGGAGGGATGGGCATTTAGGAAAGTGATTGTGTTCACCGTTGGGATATACTTTGCCATTTTGTCTAGATATTGAAATGGATTAAAATTTATTTAAATAGAGGTGTATAAATAATTGTATTAATGATTATGTTACAGGTGTGGCTGGGTTTGTTGTTAATGAAAACAACCAGGTGCTTGTGGTTAAGGAACGATTCTACAAAAAAGCTAATTGGAAGCTGCCAGGTGGAATGGCTGATCCAGGTTTGTTTACAAATCTTTCTTATTGGTCAGGATTAGTGGTGGCACACTTGTGGCAGTTCAGGAGGGGAAATTAACTACTCCACCGACATTGGACAAGTATTCCTCCTCACCCCCGTCACTAAACATGACTTGAGTTTATCCGACCATATGACTAAAATATTAGAAATTCGTCGATATATAGTTTGCTATTTGTTGTTGTTATGAAACCCTAAAATCTCTGGTTAAACGTTGACCAGGATCGCCTGTCTGTGTCAACAAATTCCAAGAACTATCACCTTGTCAGGCTATGTAAAATTTAAAGTAATAAACCTGACTGCTTCATTGGTGTTCAACACCTATAAACTCTCACTGGCTAAAATCAGGGGCAATAAATCACATGAACCCCAAACAGGCCCAAAAATGAACAGTATTTTCAGGCATTTTTGGTGGAGACTTATGGGCTGTTGATTGGCTGATCACTGACTTTTAGATGGCATTGTGTGACTTTCTACTTGCAGGAGAAGATTTAGGTGTAACAGCGAAAAGGGAGGTATTTGAGGAGACAGGGATTGAGGCGGAATTTATCTCACTACTGGCATTTCGGCAACAACATGGATTTCGATTTGGGCAATCTGACTTGTACTTCGTCTGTGAAATGAAGGCATTAAACTCGGAAATTGCAAGCTGCCAACATGAAATAAGTGACTGTATGTGGATGAATGTAAGTTGTAGATGGGGTGTTAAAAAAATTTGTTCTGTGTAATTTCTCTGACGCAATGGAAAGTACCTTCCAGAAACAAATATAAAGTTTACTTTACAAAATGCTGGATTAAATACATACATTTTTCTTATGTATAGTGTGTTTCTTAATTTAGTCACTATATTTTGAAAGATTCTTTACTCATGCAGATCTGCATATTAAAATGAAATAATGAATATTATCTTATTTTTGCAACAGGTTGATGAGTATGTGGCTCTTCCAGACATTTCCCCAGCAAATAGACAGTTTGCACAAGAGTATCTTAAGCAAAAGCAAAGAGGGCGCTCTTTTAAGATTAAGCCACGAAGAGTACTATCTTATGACCACAAGAAATATCACCTTCTATATTCAATTCAGGATTGTAATATCGAAGAAAACTGGCAAGAATATCCACCAAATGATAATAGTTGAACTCTCAGGAAAAAGAATATCTTCCAAATCCATTTTTTAATTGTTCTAAATTATCTATTTGTTATTTATACAATTTATAATCACAGCTATTTGACCAACAAATATATTCTTGAGCTTTGGATAGGTTTTATCGAAAGCTATGAATGAATGTATCCAGTTTAAAAAAAAAATATGCAAACAAAGATATAAAAAAAATCATTAATTCACAATAAACCGAAGACTATGCTTATTTTTCAAATCAGGCAGTAAATATAATTAGTGTATTCTGTATGTACAGTATAAACCAACCGTAAACAAAACTGGGTGCAATATTGTTAGTGTATTTGAATTAAAAAAAAATAAAAAATTGTGATCATAGAATTTTAATACATACTATTAATATTAACACTTGTACTTTTGTAACACTTCTGTGCTAATAAAAGAGACAAAAAAACACACTGTATATAGAATGGGCATTTATTCAGTAGCTGTAAAAACATTAATTTATATAGCATTGAATATTATGGACAGAGACCTTTTCAAAAGAAAATTGAGATTACTTTAATACAAATATTTACAAGTTTAAATGCCATCAATGTTGTTTAAAATGTCAGGGAGTTAAGAATTAGAAACAATAAACAACATGCATTTCCATAACTTACTGTTAATAAATATGGCTAATGGCAGTGGATTCATACATGCAAAAAAAGGAATGTACAGTATCTACAAGTTCAGTACTTTGGAAACGTAAGGATTCAGGGATCTGCTCTGAAGCAGTTAAGGCATTGTGTGGAATAAATAAGCTAACCCACTTTGACTTGATACATGTAGAAGGTCAAGGTAAACACATTTACAGGGTGCTGACTCGTTTGTGGCGGGGTGAGAAGCACTGTGAACACACATGTATTATGGTGCTTTGTTGTTTAAAGTCTACACCACCTTTGGGCTGTTTAAGGTATAATAAATTTAATAAAAATAGTTGGAAGGGTTTAAGTAGCAATAATAATAACAATAATAGCATTAAAATACAGTACAATTAGTAGAATATTGTGGCTTCATGATAGTCTGTATGATTGTTTAGTTGCCCTGACCTTACCAGTAGTCATAACACTTTTTAAATTACAGAAACTTGAGATGACCTATACAGGTATTTACAATTACTGATAATCTCCATGAAAATAATAAATCAAAAGAAAACATTCAAAACTTCAGGGTAAATACAAACAAATGAAAACTTAAGTTCATGTAAACTTGTTAGAAAAAACTAAAACAATTTAAAACAAAAACTGATGTAAATGTTGCATGCAAGTATCGAAAACCCCAAAATACCCCCTCAAATACTACTATAAAGCAAGCCATGGATGTGCTTCAAGTGATTGTTTGTCCCTATCACCATAGTCGTACAGTAATTCCTCCCCAATTTTAATGTCCTTTGATGCACACAAAATAAGATAAGGCCTGTCATCAATGGATGTTAGTTTAGTGCAGCAGTTACCATGCTTACTGTGATTGATCAGTCTACCCAGGCGACCACTCTCAGCTGTTGCATCAACACTGAAAAAAAAAAGAAGATTAATTTAAGTCTGGCAAATGTACAAGAAATACTGGTTTAGAAAAACATCAGACAGAAAGAGGTGGTTCCCCCCTCCACCCACCCACTGTGCCTGAGGTTTACATGTTCCATCATTTAATTTAAATTGCTTGAAATACTTTATTCTGAAGTTATTTATAGAGGGCAACTTTCCAACTGGACCCTCTATTAAATATATAAAACAAAGAAAAAAATGTTTGAATAATTTAAAAATATTATATAAAAACAATGATAAAAAATAAAAGGTCATAGTTCATTGCATGGATTCTAGGATGCAATTTGCCAGAATTTACTTTGTGCAGAGAATGTAAGACGGTAACAAATGAGTAAATCCATTCTAGCATCACTTTGTCACACAAATCGAAAATGCCCTAGTAAGAATTTACACTGTGTAAACTTACCAGTAATGTTTATTTTTGTAGAGGAAGTAGTACATATAGCAGCCGATGCTAGGATCTTTTAAGTATTCCGCCTCTTTTATTTTGGCTTGTTTCATGTCTATTAAATCTCCAGCATATTCCACAATGAATGAGCCTTTACTGAATGCTTTTGTTGCTAATACACCTCGGCCTTTACCTTCTATATCCTTTACCTTCATAGAGCAAAAAAAAAGAATATATCTTTAAGTACCATTGATGACCATTTACAAAAAGAGCTTGTTAACAATTATCTTCATAAATATTTGAATAGTTTCATCTGTTATGCTTATTATTGTTGAACGACTGTTGTAATTGATAATAAACCAAGCAAAGTGGATGTTAACTTACAAAAACTACAACAATTATCTTTTCCATTTTAGTACTCCTACACAGGGTCATTCCATGACAAGTCACCCAATGGGTTTAACCCAACCAACTTCGATTTCGATGATGGTATACATGTTGGGTTTGGGAAGTTACGGCCCACCCAAATATGGCAAAATTGTCCAAAACGGGTGTGTCCGCCAACATTTTAACCGTAATATCTCTGCAGTGCTAAATCTGCCATTATTTTGAAAAATTGACAATATCTTTCAACCTTTTATTTGACCTCAAGTTTGACCTTGTGGATTGCGTCACCGTGAAATTTTAATTCATGTAAATTGTGACCCCGGGTGTTAGCTACGACATATAAAAAATTGGAGATGTAATATTTCTTATAAGCAAGTAATATATAGTCAAATTTTGCCTGTCTAGAAAAAAACTCCAAAAATTACTTCGTTTAACAATCTGAATTTTTTTTATAGTGCTTATATATTACTTATTGTCAAAGTAAGAGTTAAAATAATATTTTGTTAAGTGGAAGAATGGCAGCGATTAAAATAATTTGGTTTTTATCGAAGGTAAATTCAGCTAGGCTCTAGCGCAGTAGGCCATGTTGCTGCACTGTCGGTTTGTACTAGGCTTAGCCGCCTCAGCCTACAGAGTAATTTAGCCTACATACTCATAATTAACACCTCATATTATTGTATTATTTTCAACTAACCTCAATTCCTTCCTCTTTCTTCTGCAGAATAGCTTCTTCAATCCTTTGCTTTTCCTCAGCCTACAATATTAATATGTAATATCTATAGCAACAGTAATAATAAATAACAAGTACAAGAATACTAATACAATAGAACTACAACAAGGCTTCCCCAATGGACACCACCACCTCCAGCTTTATAGTGTCAACCCCACCATATCTAGCGTTATACTGTAGTGTAAACCCCATCGCCACTAGCGATATAGTGTAAACCCCACACATCCAGCGTTAGTGTAAACCCCACCACCTCCAGCGTTATAGTGTAAACCCCACCACCTCCAGCGTTATAGTGTAAACCCCACACATCCAGCATTATAGTGTAAACCCCACACATCCAGCGTTATAGTGTAAACCCCACACATCTAGCACTATAGTCTAAACCCCACACATCCAGCGTTAGTGTAAACCCCACACATCTAGCGTCATAGTGTCAACCCCACCACCTCCAGCGCTATACTGTAAACCCCACACATCCAGCGTTATAGTGTAAACCGCACACATTCAGCGTCCACTATAGTGTGGACCCATATATGGAAAGTGGGTTGTGGCTAAATGCCTGGACGGTACCTACCGCAAGTTGAGATTTGCTTTTCCTGTTGCTCCTACGAACAGGAAAGTAGTCAGTTAGTGTTGTCGTTTGTGTCTTTTCTTCCTTCTTTTTCCTGCAAATATATTAACAGCCAGATAAATTTATCAGCATATAATAGAAATATATATAACAAATAATAAAAATAGCAATACTAATATAATAAAAAAAAAATAAAAAAAAAAGCAATCCTATATGTCTGGAATAAATCAATAGTCTCTTATAAAATCAGTGTCTACTAATAAATCTGAAATAACAGTAAATTAAAAAATGAATTTAGTTGGGATTTAAAAAGGTCTGACTAAAACAATAAATATTGAAACGTATTAGTACTGATGTTGTCCAACATTACATAATATACTGCATCATAGTAAGTGTCATGCTCCTTCATGTTCAGGGAAATATAAATGTCTTTTAATACTATCTTTAAAAACTTTTCAAAATTTTGTAAAATAAGGTGAAGCTAATTTTTGACATAAAATTACAGAAGACCTTTCATGAAATACAATGTAATTATTCAATAAGGTTTATTGCGAATCCAAGCCGCAATGCATATGGGAATAGAAAAGGGGCAATAGCGCCACTTGATTTCTCACGCAACCACTGTGATGCTGTGGTGTCGTCTGATTGATCAACATTAAAAAAAACACTGAATTTCACTTACATTGGCCAAGATTAGGGAATATTGTGTTTTGTTGTTGTGTTTTGCCCCCTTTTCAATCCCATCATGCCTTTGTTGTGTGGCACAAACTCTTGATATTTCTTGATTTGAGATAAGGTCTATGTGTTCTAGATTAAAATTTAACCACCTGAGACTGTAAATTGTTGCATTTTAAATAACTTGTAAAATATTACCTTTGCTTTGGTTTGGGTTGTTTTTTCTGCTCTTGCTTTGTAGAGGTAACTGACTTGTTTATTTCAGCTGATTCCACTATGGCACATTCATTATTTTCCAGTGATGTCCTGTCTTGCTCATCCCTTCCTTGGATCTCATGTGTTGGTGCCGAGAACAACTCCTTTACCATGGGTTTCTTCTTGCCTGTTTTTTTCTTTTCAGGTTGTGATTTTTCAGGTGGTGATTGAGTGTATTTCAAGGTAATCTTTGTCGGGGTGTTATCTGGTGTGAGTAGTCCTGAAACTTATCAAGGCAATTATAATAGTCATATTAGCCAAAAATAATAACTTGGACAAGTAGGGTAGAGTGGCACTTTGTTGAGAAAACAGTTACTGACAACGTTAGCATTCACTGACAGTCTGTCCCAGATTGACACAGTAAATTGATACACAACTGAAATACATTCATAATGGTAGAAGTCTGATTGTACTGTACACACTATATTATGACACTGACATAACTGTACTGTATATGAAAGCAAAAAGTGCATCATGAGAGTAAACAATACAGGGAGGACCGAGTTAAAACAATAGGTTGGTGTAACAATAGTCAGAGCTTATAAATAGAGTTCAAAAACAAGCTATAAGCTTATAACAACAGACATAAATTAAGACTAGACATAATATGTTAAAATATCCTGTATTCATTAAAAAAAAAACTGACAGCTTGATCTAATGCTTGTAAATTTTGTTGGCCTTTATTTGACTGAATCTCATAATATTATAATTTGGTATGGAGTTATCCGTCCACGAATAAAAGATATCCGCATAGCACTGCATTTCTTTTTGGGTAGCAATTTTTCAGGCAGTGACTGAGCGTAAACAAATTTATGTTCAGAGTTTTATTTAAATTTGGATTTTTAATAAATCATTATAGGAATATTTTTAGTGATATGAATTAGTGATGACTCAACAATACACTGATTTTGTTTTGTCAACTGTTATTATTTTCATAATTGTGTCCCTACCAGCTGGAAGAACTTCAACTGCTTGACCAGAGCATGTAGCTCCCTGGGCTACTGCTTCATCGGCCGCTGCTTTGGAAGGAGTTAGGAACTCCGTTATCTTCCTTGATGCTGGTGATTTCATCAGAACATCATCCTATATCATTAAGATAATTATTAAAGTATTTTAATATAAATGAGAAAAAAAAATTAAAATAAAAAATAATCATAACTGTATTGTTCTTTTAAAATATGATGGTTTCTGACATAACCAACTACTATTCAATTAAAAGTCTGTTAGGCCCAATATTTTCTATTCTCTCTTGAAAACAATCCAGGAAAGGGGACCATTAGGCTCTCTCACTCTCGAAATGAGGGGGAATCTTTCTTTGCTTACATGCTTTCCATGTCTCTCTCTATCAGGTGAGAATTTTTTTACTGGTGCAGAAGGTGAAGGAACTACATCATTGGTTGGCTGTTTCTTGATATCTTTTCCTGAAAAAATAAATCAGATCAAATTTAATCACATTCACAGCCAATTAATATGTTTAGAAATTTACACAATCTCCTATATAAGTCTCGACCTCAGGGTCCTAAATACCGATTTTTTTTATGCCCAACAGGCCTATGAACAAAACTGCACAAAACACCACCCAAGGAAAGATATTACGTTTTGTTGTACCATGAAAAGTCCTGCTTAATTAAAACAGACATTTAATAAGGAGGAATTTCGTACATATTACGTTCATCACAGCAATGGTCTCCATTTCGTTATTATTGCTGGTGATCAAGCATTCTGAATTTTAAAAAAAGGTATAAATTGTTTAAATTATTTACTTCTATAATTCATTTGAATGACTGAGTCAGTCTGTACCGCGCCGCTTTGTGTGAGAAAGTGTCCCTTAGCTTCGCTATCTGTACGGGTGCAGGTCAACTCGGCCACAAGTCAACTCAGCCACAAGTCAACTTTGCCACAAGTCAACTTTGCCACAAATCAACTCGGCCACAAAAAGTTCAGCTACAGCCAACTCGGCCACAAGTCAACTCGGCCACAAGTTATTTAATGTCAGTTTTTGCATCCTTTTTCTTCAATATATGATTGAAATAAAGTACACAGCATATTTTAGTAAAACAGGACCACCACACTACTAAATATTTATTTTAACAATACTAATACATGTAGTAATAATACTAGTATGGTAATAATAACAATATTTAAATATCAATTTTAATAACTCCTTAGTGATAATAACGATATTGAAGGTGATAATAGCAATAATACAACCATAATAAATTAAAGATGTTTATTTTTATAATAATAGTAATACTAATTAGTAATAATAATAATAATACTTATAATACTAGGCCTACTTAGTAATATTAGGCTAATAATATCGATAATAAAGGTGACAACAACAATAATAACAATAATATTAGAAAAATACCAATAAAACACCAATAACAATAACTTTTTAAATTATTATTATTAAAATAATAATACTAAGACTAATAAATAATAATAAGAATAATAATAATAAATCGAAAATTATTTATTTATATGGTACTGTAATAATAATAATATCAGCAAAAATTTGAACAATATATAATGTTAATGCTAAGACTAATATTAAAACTAATGGTAATAAAACAACAATAATAATAACAACAATCAATGACAACAATAATAACAGCAATAATAATAACAATGTCAATAAGTATAGCAACACTTAAAGAATTAGTATTTTATACTTGATGAATTACTCCTTCAAACAAAGTGTAGTACCAGTAAATGATTTGTGGCCGAGTTGACTGTAGCCAAACTTTTTGTGGCCGAGTTGACTTGTGGCCGAGTTGGATAGAACTCATCTGTACGCCAGCCAGCACCACAGTCCAGTTAGTAGGCCCTAGCAAGCTAGCTAGGCCTACCTCTAGCTAGGGTAGGCTAGCATGACTGCTGACGCCTGCTGCTAGGCCTAGCCAAATTCTCTCTTACCATATTATTAAAACGTATTTATGAATATTAGAAAACAATCTTACTATTTCGCTTTCCCATACTGTTTTACAAAAGAGCTTAAAATGAGACACTGATCCTTCTTCCGGATTTAATTTATTTACGACGATGTGTTGATCGGCTTTTTAATCATTCGAAAAAATAGCGCTTGCCTAAATACCTTGCCACGACTTTTGATTGGTCAATAATCAATCAATTAGAGTCGCTTGATGTAATTGGCTGAGCTAAGACAATGTTTTCGGCCAGCGAAAAAAGTCATGTTTCTGTTAAAATCCAATTTCGTTATTGTTGCTTCAACAAACTAATATAATAATAAATTAAGTAAACTTTCTGTAATATGGAAGCTTGCTCACATTTTTGATTTTGGTACTCTATTTGCTGTGCTCACCACCTGATGTCGTCATGTGATAGGTAATCGAAAACTCAAAACAAAAATTGAGGTGTTGACCCTGATCGCCCTGTACAAGATCGTGAAAGTGTGAGAGGAATGTCCCGACGTGAGTAATCAATCAATTAAGAATAGCCTAGAATGTTGGCTCTTAGATATACACAGTAATTATATTAGGCTAACCTGTATCAATATGTCGGAACTTACAGTAGTAGATGTACATGGAATCGCGGCTGACATCGGCGAAGAACTGAAAAAGCTGATCGAGGACTATGGCAGTGAGTCAGTCACTGATCTGATGCCACTGATCATCCGTGTTTTGGAACAGCTGGAGTCATGTGTACGGAACTTGGAAACACGCAGTGGAGAATCGGAGGAAGGAAAGGAGAGGATAATTGTACTTATGAACGAAAATGCAAAGAAGACTGCGGAAATTGCAAGGTTGAAAGGGGTCAGCATTTTTTGTTTCATTTTGTAATATTTCTTATTCTCTCCTCTAAGGCTAAAGCATTGTCACAAATGCAGGAAGAATAATTTTGTGTAGGTCCATGATCGAGAATATAAAGCTCATTCATTATTATATATGTTTACAATATTTATTTATATACATTTATTTATGTTATCCAAAATTTGTCGTGTTTTAACAGTTTCAAAACTTCCATGAGACAAAATTGTTAATAAAGTAGTAAAAACATGCAAATATTATGAATTTGTGGTAGATGGGTTTTTTTCCGGGCGTTCGTGCTTGCTTGTGGGAGTTTGTGAGGCCGTCTCCATTTCAGAGAGACTACTGATACTTGGAACGCCTGATTTTCACCAGTCTGACAGTCTACATGTCCATTGCAGTGAACCCAGGCATCTGTATACAAAATAGTATAACTATAGCCATTTTTATCAATATATTGCTTATTTACTTGCAGCAGTGCATTTATGAAGAAAAGCCAATGAAGTCATCTAAACTATAAAGTAGTGGAAACAAAGTTAAAGATAACAATACAGTACCAGTAACTCTTCCCACTTTCTTTCTACTGAGGGTGAAACGTTGTTACCTGTAAAACTGTATACATTGTTATAAATTTAATCAGAACATAGTCAACTTCATAATCATTAAACTTAATTTATTATTATATAAAAAATAATTATTATAAAAAATTAAATTATTTATGCTGATGCTGTCCATAGGGTATGGACAAATTTGGAAGGTGCTATATTTTGTACGTGTACCTGTTTTGTGTAAAAAAAAACCTGATGTAACTTAAATTTGTTTAATATTAATAATAATAATTATTATATTATTTCAGTAAAAAATAATGTCAATTTCAAATTGATAAGTAAGACAAAAATACATAGAGTACAAGGTACATGGTACTGATTAGATGTCAGGTTGATTATAAGCGTTACTTAAGTCTTTTGTATACACTTTCATTTTCTCAATATTTCTGACTAGCAGTAAATTTTCTTGCTTTATTGTTTAACATCAATTTATCTCAACAGTCACATCACTATGAAAATATTTATTAATAATTAATTACGTAAATATGAATGTAATAATGTAAGTCATTTTTGACTGAAGAGTGCCTGGTTGGTTGATTGATTGATTGATTGATTGAATTGAACATTAAACAAATATATATATATTATATTCTTCATAAGGAAGTTTATCTCTCAAACTGCTACCTTATTTTTGACATTTACTGAAAGTGGTGTTTAAAAACATTCTTAAAAGCAGATAAAACATTATCAAAGTTTATAATTGAATACATTATTCGTTCATTCGTTCGTTCGTTCATTCATTAATTCTTCATTAAATTAATATAATAGATATATGACTTAGAGCAGATAATGACTTATAGCAGATAATTACAGGGAGGGATATGAAGAGCAAAATGAGTAACATTTTTCTTATATCTATCAACAGGAAGTGAACAAAGTCGAGCAAGCATGGAGAGAAGAAAGTCGAGAGCTGTTGGAGGAGATAACAGAGTTACAATCAGAAAATGAAACATTCAAATGTATACTGAAAGAAAGAGATGGCGTAGCTGACAGACAAAAATGTAAGTGTACACATGCAGTACTCAAATTATACATGTCATTTAATCATAAATGACAGAACAACGATCATGGGTCTTGTACTGCCATGATTATACATTAACTTTTAAAGTTTTGTGGAAAAAACCCCCACGTTGTTGAATAATCGACGTTGTAGATGTCCCACACTTCCATTTCACATAATAATCATAATAATAATCTTTGGTTTCACACTGGTATTTGTTATTCAAATAAACTTTGATTCTAAAAGTCAATTCTTAAAAAGTGATCCCACTAAGCATACTACTTCAAAAGAAAGACTAGAATCAGTCAAGTATGACATTCCATAGTTTTATCAACTTTGTATCTTTTTTGGCAACTATTCAATTGATAGTATTCAACTGAAAAGAAAATAGCTTTTCATTACACTGTACAAAACGAGTCTCATGATATTGTAGTTAAAGGTTTTGCACATAACAATACTTTCATGCATTATGTATTCTTCTCACATATTATAGGATCTATATGACACACCTATGTGAAATCACCTCATGCATACAGTAACCTACATACTTAAGAAAAAATGTTGATGATATTTAAAAAAATCATAAAAATATGGTAATTTATAGGTGATCCCTAAATGCCTGTAGTTATAATGGCAGATACAAGGAGTCTAGGTGCGAGCAGTCTACGTTTGCATGCTAGGGAGATTTCTTATTAAAGTTATGTTTTTGGTAATTGAGGTGGCTATATTGTTATGGACTTGTCTCAAGAATAGGACTCAAAGAAAATTTGAAGGAAATAACAGCACAATTTAAAAAAAAAATTCAAATCTTTTATGTAAAAAAGAAATTAACTATAAATATAGATATTATAATCACTTTTCTTTTGTTGTAGGCCTACTAAAGGAATAAGTAACATGTTTAGAATGGATGACCTCTATTCAGCCATAGCTGTTATTTTGTGCACGTGAACAATTATTTAATAATACAATACAAAGAAAGTCTGTTGCAAATCTATTATAAAACACAGATTAAAATATGATTTTAAACGAGTATAAAAAGTGGTATATAACTAATTACAGAGGCTTACCAATCAATACATTTTGTATTATTGCATTTTCTTTATCTGTTTTTGTAATTTTGTATAGCATGTATATTATATATTATTCATTAGTAAATTAGCTGCAAGTCTACAATGATATTTTAGAATAGCTTGAACTGTATAATGTTCAGCATCTTAAATCTACAGTAGTTCATATTTTTTTGTCATGTTTTAAATTGTCTTCATTTATAATATGAATGCATCATTTATTCATTTGTCATTGTTTTTCTTCCATTTCATTAGTCATCATTGGTTGGCCAAAACCAGGTATTGCATTATATAGTTTTGCAATGACGCTACTCTTAATGCCTGATAAAAAACGTGTTTCTCCTCCATTTATTAAAGAGGGAACAGAGAGGGTAACGGAGAGCGCAACCCATGATGGAAAAGGCCAAGCCTCTCCTCCAGAGTGCTCTGAATGCAGTAAGGAAAAAGAAACTGTTCAAAAAGATGAAAGGAGTGAAAAACAAGTTTTTTATATGGCCATTTGTGAAATGCAATGCATGTAATCTTCCAATCTGAGGGTTTTTGTCTATAAAAGTGTTGCAATGTTTCTGTCATTGTTGTTTAAATATTGCCTTTATCCATATCTGAATCTTGGTGTATGAGTCATTTGCACGTGCATATCAATTTGTGTTGCCTTTATTTTGCGTCATGTATGGAACAGTAGAGAAACAAAATCATGTACCTGACTTGCTGTATTTTACCAATCGACCAATTGGAAAGTTTTTAATTCAAATAAACAAAAGAGCTCACAGAAATATACTATAGGTTGATCATTTTATCTTGTTAAAATTTTTATTATAATTTTTATGTTCCTCAATGCTAATATTTTTTTTTTTGACACAGAACCTCCTTTAGAATCTGTGTGGAATACCGTACTAAAAAAAGAAAAACAAATTAATAATTTCGAAAGAATGGCATGGCATGTTTTTTCCTCTTCTCTGGTGAAGGTCCCTTCTGCATGTGGTAAATGCTGTTTAATATGCATTATGTTTTAACAAGTGAACCATCTTTTAATTATGGATACATCCATGCATGAATGAAACAAACAGTAGCCATGAATTAATGGTACAGAACTTTGATTGGAGAACATGCGAATAAATTCGGCTACATGACTTCAAGCTTTCCACACTGAACAGTTTAAAAAAACTTTCTGTTTTGTACTCATCATGTGACTGAGGATTATGCAATCTAAACTTTGACCCTCACTCATACCGGTAGTTATTTTGATAAATTGTTGTCCTATAAGAATATCAGAGCTTAAACAATCATGAAAAAAGATTAAAATTCATGTAAACAATACTGTAACATTGAATAGTTAATTACTATTAAAAAAGAAAACTAAACTTCCAATGACACTGTTTATATTGAAACAACTTTCGCTGACATAATACGATTTTAATGTTCAGTTGAGTTTATTACTGGAGCTCATCTCAGACTGTATCATTGAAGACAAAAGCGGTGATACTTCCAGCGATTAAATATTGAGGGTTTATACTTGGTAGGTGGTTAAAATGATACCATAACTGCAGAGCAGAAGGATAACGGAGGTGACATAATGTAACCAAGTAGTGTAGGCAAAGGTGATTCCCAGGCCAAAAGAGGTATTCCCAGGGAGTATGAGGTAATATTCTGGAGATTATGGTACTAAGGTTTGTATTTTAAATAGTGTATTCCCAGTCTAGAAAGATCGAAGTGGTGAAGTACAAGCATTCACAAGGAATGAGGGGATGATATCCCCTTAAGGAAGAAATAACATGCACCTTAAAATGGAGAGGATGTATTTGATGATACCATATAAATTAATTTGATATGATCATTACCGTACATAAAGATGTTCAAGTGGAAGTCATTGCCAGAAGGAAGGATCTTCTTAGCTGGACAATTAAAGGAAATGAACCCACTGGAGAATTATTTCCTGAGTAACTTTAACCCCCGGAAGGATTACTGAACTTTTAGAATGAACTTAAACTGAACTGAAAGTAAAGATAGTAATAATAATAATAAGATGTTCCGATTAATAAGATGCTAAGAAAGTATAATACATACTCCAAGTATTGAAATACACGCCATCGTGTTGGGATTCAATATTTCAACATTAATTATGTCATCATCAGGAATAATAAGATGCTATTACTGTAATATAGAAATTTTGATTCTCAATATTAAGAAATAGGTTTACTTTACAATGATTGAAAATGTTTTATACAGTATATAAACAAGGAAATGTTTTTGGCTCTCATTGAAATGTTTTCACAGAACAAAAAGTAGAATACAAATTATCTCCTTTAGATATAAAATCACAAAATGACGTTTGATGAAAGTAGAAGACTTCTTCGAAATAAAAGTGTTAATAAGAAACAGTTTCACTTTTCTCACGCAGACAGATTCTTTAGATGTGAGAATCCGTCATTAGACAATCAGGCCACTAGAAAGAATTGAAGGCAAGCATCTTTCCACCAAGCTACATTTCCTCTCCGTGGGGAGGATTCAGTATCTTTCGTTAGGGTGATGTCGACAATTTCAGATGGTTTGAATCAACACTGCATTCATGGTCCCCTCATGACGCAGGTGTTGATAAGCTAATATTTTCAGATGTCTTAATAAAGATTACATTTTTGCCAACTTACCAAGTTTTTTTTTTTTATTTGTTCAAAAGTTGCCAATTACAGAATTGAAACAATAAAATATATTAATATATATAAATATGAAAAATGATAATGATATTGATAACTTTTTTTGTGGGGGGGGGGGGGGGGGGGGGGGGTGAGAGTGGGTTAGGTGGAGGGTATAGTGTCAGTAAATATTCTTTCCCTCTCTGTTCTAAATCTTCCACTGGTCCTGACTACTCGTGCTGCCAGGTTGTTGACAATATTTTTGTTTGTAACAAGGAAAAAAAATCTTGTAGCCTTTGTTATGACAAAGAATATCTGCTTTTTATTGATTTTTAATTGGTAATATAATATTATTATGTAAGAAAAATTAGCCAATTATGGCATTCAAAGCTAATAGGCCAGGTCGAGTAAAGGGGCCTTAGGGAAGACTCCCAATTTCTGCCTGTCTTCCTAGGTTATTAATAATGTAGCAATTTTATGGAATCCAGGCTTAATGTTTAAATTGCTTTGTTGTCTGACTTGCTGGCATTTCATTTGTAAGTCTGTTTAATTGTACTTTCTATTGCATAAAGAAGAAATTGAAATATGTTGGTAAAAATGGATTATGTATTTTTATTCATCTTACATCCATTCGTGAATGTTTGCTATTTTATGCAATGTTGATTATCTTCCTGATTTTATGCTTAGTGGGAAAGGGATGAATGTTTTATTAATGCTTGTTGCATGTGGAATTTGTATGCATTTAACTTTATTACAGTACTCGGTACAAGAAATGTTAAATTTTAATATTTTGTTTGTTTGTTGTCAATTGTTTTTCTTCTATAGTGGCAGAACGTCAAGAAATACAGATGATCACAAAACTGAAAGAGGCTGTGGATCGACAGAGAGACCAGCTACGTGCCAAAGACAATGAAATACAGCAACGATTACAAGATACTGATGCGGTATGTCTTTAAACAATATGAGTATCTGAAGTGCATATTACATACTATTATATGCATACTATAGCAGGTTGGACCTTTATGTAGCAGTCTGGCACCCAATAAAGCCAGCATTAATGCAAATACAAATTCTATAATCATCAAACAATGAGTAACACATCTATCTTTAGATGGATATTCAGTTAAATTAAAAAAGTGTTATTACATTTTTAATGCTTGCTTCAATGTTAAAATTTCCAAAAATTAAATTTAAATTTTGTAATCCTTACATAACCCTTTCTGGTAAATGAATATCCTCAAATAAGTACATAATGTCACAAACAATTTGTAATCATATCCGTTTTAATGGCATCACATGAATGCATTAGTTGGAGTTTGGACTTATGATTATCTAAAAATGAATGGAATGCAGTGGTGGTGATATAGTTAACTTGCAGCTTATATCTGTCTGTTTTCATCAGATTGTTATTATGTTGTTTTGAGAATGAATTAAAATTGTATTGTATTAAACTAAGCTACAACAAAAATATAAATTTAGTTTTTAAGATTTATTTATATATTTTTGTATTTTGTAATAGATACTAATGAGTAAGTGCTGTTCAAGGTCACTTATTTCCGTAGCAATTGTATGCATACAATTTTTTGATTTATTCATATTCATATACTCTGTCTGATTTAGTAGTGTAATTAAAATATGACACTACTATTTGATGGAATGGGATAAGTGGCCCCAAAGTTAGAACATGACATCATTACTTGAGTAATGAGGTATCTTAAGTCTATACTTAGTGTATGAATCAATACATGCTTATCCTAGGGGACATGTGTAAGCGTGCCCTCATATACTTTCCCTCTAATTAGTAAGTACAATGAATTTCCTTTCTTAATTAATACAAAATCGGATATTTCGTCACGATGTGTAATTGTGCTTGTACAAGATTGAAAATCCAGATTGTTTTAAATATTATTTTGTAAGTCAATGTGGAAGAGTGCAATTTCTGCATTAAAAATACATGGCAAATAATAGTGATATATGAAATTTATGAAAATACAGATTGATTATTATTACATTTTAAAAGAAAGGCGTTATATATACCTGCTCACAACATAACTTAAGTAGCTTTTAAAACTCAGGTCAGTGTTATAGGCAAGCTGTAACATCTTTTTAAAAATTGCTCTTAAATTACTGGTAACATTGTCTCAAAACACCAATATGATGAGCTCCAGTCTCAGAGATATCTTCCTTTTAGAATGTTACTGGTTAATTTTCACCAAGTATCCCCTTTTGAGGTAGTGCTAATGTTTTAAATAGTATTAATAATAGGTAGATTTATAAAGAGCAACTAAACAAGGTCCAAGTAAACAAAAGGCAAGATATGTTTTTCTGTCATCTTTGTAGGTTGTTAAAGCCTATAATTTAAATATAAAATATAAACTTTACTAAATTTTATTTTCGCACAAAATTGTAACACTTATTTTGTTTAATTCACAGCTTCAGCAGCAAGTGGCACGTCTTGCTAAGGTGAACCAACAGCTACGGAGGAAGAGTGAACTATTGGCATCGCAGGCTAAGAGCGTTATCAAGGAAAAGACGGAGATGCAAACAAAACTAGAAGCGTTAGCACAAGATATGGGACGGCATGGAATTGAAATTGAGACTATGCAACAGAATATTGTACCCGAGGTTTGTATCAAATAATATAGTGGTGGGAAGGAGGGAAAACTTTACAATTAGTCCTTTAAAGTCCTTATACACAAAGACTTGGTAACTACCAAATGAACCCTGGGCAGGGAGGATGTTGAACCGGCACTCACCACTGCCACTTACCGCTCAACTCAACTTACAGATCGAAACTTTTTAATTAGTAGATATGACAGTAAGTGGAAACTCAATTAAATCAAGTGCACACATTATACAGGTGATAACATCTTAAGTACCCTGAGTGACAGCTTAAAATTGCATCAATCCCTTTTATGCTTGTTATCTTTTACTTTCAGGAAATGAATGGAAGTTCATTTGATGAATGTGAGGGTAAAATTATTATTGATCCGAAGGATCCGAATCGGCCCAGGTTCACTTTAAAGGAGCTTCAGACGGTGCTACAGGAGAGGGATGAACTTAAGTTTAGGACGATGGAATTGGAAGATGAATTACAGGGCTACAGGTAAAACGTAACTTTTTAATGTGGTGCATTATGAGGTGACATAACTACTGTTGAACTTGTACTCATCCTTTTAATGCTGTTGTAAATGTGAAATTCCTAGATGTTCATGAGTATGCATTTTGACATTTACATCTACAATGTATATAGTGTGTATTTGGTGATTTATTTTACATCTTATAATCTTAGTCTTAATCTTAGTCTTATGACAAGCCTTGCTGATGGCAGGCAAAACGAAATAAATAAATAGTCAGTAGCATCTTAATTTTACACTTGACTTTGGATCATCTAAAAGAACATTTAGAACACATCTTATAATATTGTTGTTTTACATAACTCTACTGGATGTAAATGTTGTGGACCCAGGACCATAGATTTACAAGGCAATCTTAACCACCAATCTGCTAATATTCTGATTCTGTATCCTCTTGTCACAGTGAATAGAAGGATGGATTTATTCATTTTAAATACCAATGATAATCCACGAAAGTCTGAAGAAGACTTATTTCCAGTGCGGTCCTTCTGGTGGTAATTGGGCAATACACCGGGAGACAATCCCTTCTTCTTTTTTGAAGAATGTACTGCATTCTTTAACATGCACATAGACCATAACGCACAAGGGACCAATGGCTAAATTGTCTCATCTGAAAGACGGTGCTCTATCGTATCTTGCATTCAGTCCTCCAGCTGAAATACAAGGAGAGCAGCAATGGCAATTGAACTGGGGACCAAGATATTTCCACGGTTCAGTGCACACACAGTGGCTATAATATAAAAATATTCATTTTAATGTTTGTAGTACATCATGTGATGAGATAATAAAATCACTATTGAGTTGTAATAGATATCGTGACAGCTCTAATATACATTATTTATCATTCATATCTTTCCAATGTGATTCATTATTCAGGCCGTCTGAAGATCCATACATCCTTGCTACTGAACAAGTAACACCACCGAAGAGACATGAAGACTCTGGCATTAGAAAATTGTAAGTAAATCCAAAGAAATATTCATTTGTTTTCATTAAAACTTTATACTTCTACATTTGCTATTCATCATCTATTCCCCAGCTATGACATCATTAGCTATGTCATACTCAGCTATAACCTCAAAAGCTGTGACATCATCAGCTATGACATAAGTTATAACTATAACATCATTAGCTATGACATCATCAGCTATGGTATCATCAGCTATGACATCATCAGTTATAATATCATTAACTATGATGTCATCAGCTATGACATCCTAAATTATTCTTTCATCAGCCTTTACCATACACCATACAAATAATTACTATACCAATATTAACATAATAATTGTTGCATAATATTGAATGTTTGGTTCATTCTGTAAACAAGATGGAATTTCACTTTCAAAGTGCCAGTGTTTTTTAAATTTTTTTATCAACATGATTGAAATAAATCTTGTAATATATTGTTTCTTTATATACAATACTATCATTCATAGTTCCTGTTTTATATATAATAAAAGTGTGCACTTTACTGTAGTTCAACTTATCAATATCAGAATAGTGTTTGCAGATAGATTTTGTATTTGTGTGGAAATAATAGTAAACTAATATTTTAAGTAAATAGTAAGATTATAGTACTTTATATAGATTTAAGGGGAAATGAAGCTATTATTTTAATCTTAGCATGGATTGGACATCACATTATCCTAATTATGTATAAGTTTGGGTCATTTCATTTGTTAATTACATTTTATAATAGATTTGTACATATTACTATCTGTTTGATTATAAGGTACAGTACAGTATGCCTTACTTTAGCATGATCAGTGTGCAAATACACAGTAACAGTAATTGTATTTTATAACATGTATTAAAACAAAGTGAAAATAATTTGTACTGTGCTTTTCCTGGTTTAAGCTGACCTTTGGATATTAACCTTTAACCATAAATATACAGTAAACCAACCTTCTGGTATAAGCCCACCTTCAGGTATAAGGCTGAAAATTAACCTCCAGGCCCAACTTTCATGGTATAAGTCCACCATTGACTATAAAACCTGTCATCAGTCCCACCATAACGTGTAATTGAATATACCAACTTTTAGGAACAAGCCTAAATTCAGGTATAAACCAATCTTTGGATACAAACGCACCATCAAGTAAAGGCCACTATTATTGGTGTTCTCCAATGTGGCAGATTTAAAGTTTTTTTGGACGAGATCTTTCTTTAACCGGAAGGTCCACCGATTAATCTCAGATAAGAAAGTATAATACATACTCCAAGTATTTAAATACACGCCATCGTGTTGGGATTCAATATTTCGACATTAATTATGTCATCATCACGAATCCTGATGATGACATAATTAATGTCGAAATATTGAATCCCAACACGATGGCGTGTTTTTCAATACTTGGTGTATGTATTATACTTTCTGGATCTTTCTTTCAAATTGGCATCCAGCTCATCTACTGTATTTCTTTCTTGTCATTTATCATCATTGCTTATTTTTCTTTTTTGGATCTTTACTCCCATTCTTTCTTTAATTGTTTCTATCAAGTTTTATATTAAATTATATATACATGAACCAATGTTCATGTATAGCCCCACCTTTAAGTATACATAGAATATACAACCCACATTTCCATTTAGTCTCAGGTATAGGCCCAGTTTCAGTTGTAAGCAATTAAAATGTCAATTATCTGGCATATCATATCATACTTTTGCAAAGTGTGGGTATCATTATTTATCTCAGTCAGTTCACTATTTAAACACATACTGATAATTAAGTGTTTATAATTATAATAAATTTATATAATTGTTTTTTTTTTAATTTGATGTGAAAATCGGTGGCATGTATCTAATATTTATTTATCATGTTTGTATATTTTAGTTTCTTTATATTTTAAAAATTGTTTGTAAAAATGTCGTGTTTTCCCTTCAGACTCAATTGCAGACGGACTCTCATTCAAACAGAAACTGTCTCAAAATTTACAAATTTGTAAGACTATTTTACTGATGCACTTGTTAAAAGACCAGAGCATAATATTTTATAGCAAAATATAATGTTTTGAAAGCAATTAATATATTTACTAATTTTTTAAAGCATTTTCATAAAAAAGATTTAAATAATGTGTTATTATTTTGCACTATAAAATAATTAATTTCTGATTGCAGTATTACTTAAGATTGTTATTTTTTATTTATGTTTTAAAATAGAATATACTACAGTGTATTGTCTGCAGTGCCATCATAAGGGGGTGAAAAAATACTCTATATATAAATCATGGAGGAACTAATCGTTTAAGTTAGACCTTGAATACAAAAGGCAAACAACTTCTGAGAACTGGGTTCCAGACCAGTGGTGGCTCTATGGTGTATACTATATACAATTATATATAAATTATATATTATATGGTATATGGTGGTGACTAATGTAAGCATAGTAGCCTCAATTCCGGTTGAGTAACACATCAGTTTTACCAAGCTTTAGTTTATTGTGTATGTTAAAACATCTCTATATGTTTGTAATTGTTCAGTTGTTAATTTTCCTGTTATTTCCTGTTTTGTTGCTTCTATTTAGTCTCATTTTTCAGTGTTGTTATTACTTTCATTTTTTGTGTTTTATGTCATTGTTATGTATAACTCTACATATTAATTATATTTTCAAATGTGGCTGAAGACATTACTTCAGAATGATCTAATAGTTTATCTGTGTTTGATTATAACTATGGAAACTTGTCAAATTTCTGTAAAAACATTGATCATATTAAACTGGCAGTCTTACAGATTCAAAGGATAGTTTAGGGTGCGCCCACATTTACATTAATGATGCTTGTTAAAAATATAGGCATCCTAAATTATCCTTGCCTCTGATTGGCTGTGATGTGCTCAAAAGCAACATTATAGTAATTCTGATTGCAAGATGAGATAACTTGCCTGTGAAGGAAACACCCAGGTTATTTCTGGTTGGTACCAATCATTTGACTATCTTGTGAACATGTTGGACTGACAATTTTTAATACTAATTGTGTAATGATAATGAGGGTATGCCGCAACATAATTTACTGGTTAAACGTGTGAATGTGTGTCATTAGTACAATGGATTAGCATGGATTTCATCTGATTTCATCTGAACCTCACATTTGGCTGCACAGTATTATGCATTCTATCCAAGGTAATACACATTGAGGTATATATTATAACAACCTTAATGATATATTGAAACCAATAATATGTGTTATTAAAACCACCAAGCTTTTTACAAAATGATATTTTTGACCAAACAGCAATTTAATCCATTCTACTACACAGGAGTATATCCTAGTGTATCCCTTAATATTTTATTTTTCATTTATTTAATATTACTTTATTTTTGATTTATATTTTCAAAAAAAATAAGTGTAGATTTTACTTTAATTAACGCAAATATATCTGTATGATTTTAGCATGAAGCTACTGTTTATTTACTAGCATGAACGCATGTGGAAAAACTTTTGTTTTTGACTGCCAACCGAATGTTTGTGATTTCTTTGTGATACCCTTGGTCTGAATGTGTTTCTCTTTACTCAGAAGTGTAAATGAGTGCCTAAAATGTGTGCTGTATAAATCCTATATTAATTTGTCATATCTCATACATTTTACACATAAAAGATTTTTTTTAACCTATTTGAGGTATTCCAATCCATCCCAGTGTATTGTCGCAATATTATAATGTTATAATGAGTAATCAGCATAAGAATGTCATAGTTGTATAACTAGGGCAAAATCAATATCAGTAAATGACCCATCATTTTACAGCTTAAAATGTGGTGCTATATTAAATGTCATTTTTTGGGATGGCATGCCTCATTTTAACTATATTACATTTTTTTACAGTACTTTATTGCATGTTCATTTTGCACTCATATTTTTTCTTCATGAAGTTTTCCTACTAATAACAACTGCTTATTTTTAAATAAAAAAGAATGTTTAATTATCAACTATAATTAATGATATTTATAATTGAGCACAATATGATAATTATAATTGATATTGATTATTAAATATAATAATTATAAACTTATAATGAAAATAATTAATGAGTAATAGAATTATTGATAATAAAATTATGATGAAAATATTAGCATTTACATAAGCTCATACATGCATAAAAAATTGTCATTTAGTGCGAATAATAATATTAATAATAATATTTGGTACTATTCCAATGCTCAACAACAATAACCAATTGATATTAATAATAATATAATAATAATAGGTTAGTAATAATGATAATAGTATTATTTTAAAATACAGCATTTTCTATCCATGATTATATTGCTTTTAGATATTTTAAAAATGAAAACAAATTTGAAATGAAGAATTCTAAAGTTCTAAGCAGTATAAAATTTATAATATCCAATTTATAATATAGTAATTTATGAAATATAAACAGGTGGGGAGACAAATAAAACAATTTCAGCATGACGATAGCACTCTCATGTTTAATTTTTAATATCATTATTTTCTTTCATTTTTTTCAGTTTTCAACTAATATTTTCCCCAAAGTCTTCTAAAGCAGCTAAACCAAGTAATCCATCTGCTAGAAGGGCATCTGGTTCAGAGACTAATAACAATACTGTTGATACAGACAGCCGTATGAGGGAGCTATCTGAATTAAGCGAAGGTAGCACAAACACTGGAACACATAACATAAGTAAAAGTGATTGGGAGATCGTGAACTTTGACATTGATGATGCAAATGAGATTAAGGAAGATCATTTTGCCGAGCCTTCACCTGAATCATCTGCCGATTTTACCAACATTAAAGCCGATGTGTCCGAAGAGCAAGCAAGCTCTAGCATAGCATTAGCAATTACCGTGGATGATGAGAGGCATAGAGTAAAACAAAACGAAGGAACAAATCAAGGACAAGAAAAGGAACAAAGAGTGAAAGTTATTTAAACAGATGTATATTAAAATATTTTATGCAGCGAAAAAAAATATATTCTGAGTGTTTTTCATGCCAAGTTAGAAAGAATGCTGTTAAAAAATCACCCAAGAAGGACAGTCTTGGTCAATGTTGAAAAGATAAATAATTAAATACAAAATGCACTTCTGTTATGTAGCATTTGAGATTTTTTTAAAATAATTGTTTAAGCATCGGATGGCTCTATATAGTGCATGTAACTAAGAATTGTTAAATTATTTAAAAGCACTTTTGATAGGAATTTTTTCTGCCTATATTAATATGAAAGTCAAACATTTTTCTTTATTTTTATTCAAATATGTATATATAAACAGTAGTTTATAGAAAACAGTTGGAGATATGATCTTGATAATAAAACACCTATAAATGTTTACTGTATATTGTGCTCTGTAAATGTTTTAGATATATGTTAAAGAACTTTACCATTTTACATATTAGATATTTCAAGTGTATTCTTATCTTAAACATGGACATTCAAGGTATGTAAGATGACCATGTAGATTAGTGGCTTAGCAAGTGCTTAGTAATTTTTTATCTTTAATCTTTTTCCCTGCTTTCATAATTTTACAACAGTAAGAGAGCTTTATATTAAGTAATGACTAAAAGGCTGTAATTACTTGTTTCTCTGTACAGGTTTGTCTAAAAATGATTTAGTATAATTGAATTAATCTGATCTGTTTTTTCTGACATAATTTATTTAATTAACTGATATTGAATTTCTTTTTGTCCTCAAATTTACTTTCAAATTTGACAGATTCCAGCGTGTGATCAAGATGAAAGTTTCCCCTAATGTCAAGAAGCTCCTCTTCTCAAGTCCAAACACATCTCCAACATCTTCACGCTCAAATACTATGGACTCACGGAGCAGTACAGAGCTGACGTGGGTCGGACGTGAAGATGACCTAGAATGGTTTGATGGATTCACTGAATTGAGCAGCAATAACAACTCAAACGGGGGATGTTCAAACAAAGCGAGGAGACATGTTAAGCCGGCAAGAATTCCACATGTCGTTATGGAAGGTGAGCTTCCTGACACATCTCACGACGAGAGTAGTGGCGATGATGATGATATTGGTGCTATTCCTATACAAGCCGGGGGAACAATATGGTATATATAGGGCAGGGGAAAAATGATATGGTATATATAGGGCAGGGGGACAGTATGGTATATGTAGATATTTAAAATGTTTGCACTTATATTTGTGATTGGTAGATTGTAATTTATGAACGATGGATTCAGAATTTCAAAAACAAGTTTGCATAATGGGTAAATAGTTCCATCTGTTTTCCTCTGGTTGTTGAATGGTCTAATGGAATGCTTCATATTGTGAATCCATCATTCATTCAATAAGCCAGTGTGTAGTTTTGACTGCATGTGTCTGTATCAAAGTCAACCGACATAAGCAAATATACAACATAAGTTTAAGTTGATTGACCTTTGATACGGGCAAGCACAGTCCAAACTAAGTATTGGCATATACTCTTGTATCCAGTGTACTTAAATTGAAAGAAATAATTATGATTATCAATTAAAAAAAATGTATAATAAAGCTGTATCCATACTATTAGAGTCAGACTTCAGAGGGAAAAAAATTGTTGATACATGTTGTAGATCTGATTTTTCTAAGACAGAAAAAAGTTGTTTGACGAAGAACTGGGGAATGGTGAATGAGATACAGATTTTTTAATATTTAAAAACTGGGGGAAAAGGTGTAAAATTGGGCGGTTACGCCCCTTTTTCCCCCAGTCTTTAAATATTCAAAAATCTGTATCTCGTTCACCGTTCCCCAGTTTTTAGTCAAACAACTTTTTTCTGTCTTAGAAAAATCACAACATTTGAAAAATTTGTATTCCTCCGAAGCCTGACTTTAAGTTTTAAAGAACGATGCCCATATATGGCAGTCATATATCAATATGCCTATATATGGGTATGATATGACATTACCATGCCCATATATAGGAAAATTACAGATGTATGTGTCACTTAAGTATTGATAGTACAATAGAGCATTAGTCGCTACTAGGCTGGCTGGTTTCCTGCTGTTGATAGATGATGTTCTTTATTTATGTTAGTTGTTTGGTTTAATTCCTTGTTTAACCAATGGATTTGGAATTGTGCTAATCTTTGGTGTGATAGATAAGACTGTTGGTAAATAACATTATTATTATTATTGCATAAATTTTATTTATTTTTATTCTATGCAAATTATTTCTGAGGTTGATATATTAATGATTTGTTCTAGCCATTCAAAGATAGATTGTACACTTATTGAGCAGTCATGTAATAGCATTAGTAGTGGCATATCGACAATGAGGGCTAATAAGAGATGGGGAGGCAATAACTGAGAATGGTGTGATATTCGGTGATATTTAACTACGTTAGTGTAGTTTGCTTAGCAGATTTTTGGTGGGAGGCGTAAACTTTTTCTAGGGTGGTCCACCCTACACGCTTTTAGAAGCCACTGAGAGCTATGGTAGCTAATATAATAATAATAATAATAATAATAATAATAATAATAATAATAATAATAATAATAATATGATAGATTAAATAATAATAATAATAACATGATAGATTACAGTACTTTGGTATTACCATATCAGTTCTACTTCCAACTAATATCTGCAGGAAAGGTGCATATTGCGTATTTTATAGGTAGTAATTTGTAATGTAGCATGTACGCAGCTGGTCTGTGAACTGAAGTAATATATAAACTGTGAAGGTTAATTTTAAAATGTATCAATTACTGTAGTTGAAGAAGCTTATATTAGATGTTTTTATGTTTCTTTTAATTAGTACTTTTGAAGAACAAAAATATATTTCAAAAAAATGGAATATAATAATATTTATTTGGCAAAAATATACAGAAATGAAACAATATTGATTGCTAGGATAGGGAATGGGCAAAAGCCCAAACAAGATTTGCACCCTATCCTACATATTATGAAATACACTAGTACAAAAAAAACCATCAGAAGAATTAATCAGAAACATACAAAGATATAAAATGCCTAAGTAAATTATTTTTAGAATTCCTTATTGGATGTAATATAAATTTACATATAACTGAGTAAATCAATCAAAAAATGTCCACCTATGGCTTTTATGTTGTACAGAATTTCTGAAAGATCTGTAATTCAACATTTTATTTGCACACCATGCATTAAAACTCCAAATAATGGTGGTGACAAATTTGCACCGACCTCCTTGTTTTTTTTTTGCAGGTACCACCTCTTATTCGTAGGTTAATAAAACTATGGACAGGAGTGTAAATGCCATTCATTTAGTAAGAAATGTAAACAGCCATGTTTAGTTTATAAACAGAGATTCAGATTTTTACAGCACAACTGTACTTTGGAATCCAGAAAAGAGAAAGGGTACAGCTACAGAGGTTAACTGTCAATTAGTCAAGAACCGTAGAGAATGACTGCCAGAACCTAGTGTTATTTTTATATTGGGGGTCAGACCCTGGAGGGATTTTATCTTTGAAATTGATCTTATCATTAAAAGTAGACTTGCGTAAAAAATCAAGACTAGAATGCTGAGATTTAACACAATATCAGCTGTTTAAGAAAGATTGTAACATAATTTCCTACGATTCACCATACTGCTTAATAGCTATTAAGACGTCTACTAACTCCATTTTAATATGCATAAAATGAGGTAATTCCTTTGAACTTTCTGTTGAAATACTTGCTATAAAACATCAGAAGTCTATTGATACAATATATATTATTCTGATGACGACTAAAGCAACTCAATTGAAACAAAAACTCGACAAAAACAACAGTTTCAAATGTAGCGGAGGTAATATATATATAGATTATATATAATTTATTAGTATCAAAGCTCTCATAATTTTTGGTGCATAATTCTATACCTGTACTGTATACAATTGATTTAAGGTACTTGCCACTTATTCAGGGGATTTTTTATATATTTTGTACATTTTAAACACATCTTATTTTTTTTGTGAAATTGAAAGCATCAAAAAAGCATTAGAAAACTTGTATTTGATTTTTAATACAGGTCTCCCTCCAATTAAAGACAACTTTTGGGACGAGTGGTTCCATGGTTTTTAGCACTTTTGGTTCTGATTAGAGTAACAAATATAAAAGACATTTGCTAATTTGGTATCACTGAAAAATGACCTTTAATTGGAGGTGGTCTTTGATTGAAGGAGTCTTTACTTAGAGGTAAACCTGTAGTTGATATTACCGAAGATGTAATTGTCACATTTACAACTGGCTTGTATTCTGACTTTTCTCAGGATGCTACTATATGTAGATGGGAATGCATACGAGTCTACAAACAAATTTTGAGCTTATTGGTTAAAATACATTAGTCACAAATCGGTACGGTAATTGATCATTTTAATAGTATTATAAATAGTTAAATAATGTACAGGTATTTTTACTATAATTGACATGAAAGATTTACATCCTAAAAAAAATTGTGAATAAAGTTGATTTGATGTGTTTATAACTTGACTTTGTTTGCATAATTCAATTAAATTTCTCTTTTTCTACATCACTTACTACAATGCATGGGCATAGGCTGGGAGTGGGTGGAATTATTTGAATGTGGAGGCACCCCCATTGGCAGCAAATTAGTTCCACTCAATGGGTTAAAATAGTAAAAATGAAGCAAGATTTATTTCCGCATTCTCATTTTTCGCACCCCCAGACTAAAACCACCCCACGCCCCTGCAGTGGTTTCCCCAAATTTTGTCCGAGGAAAAGCCGACAGTGTGTTTGTCAATTTACAACAAAGACCAGTAATTTGATATGTATCATCAAATTTCTAAGTATAACATTATTCAAAACTCAGTGTCAGTAAACAACAATGACTTGGGATGCTATCTTTTACCATTACAGTACTAATAATTAACTGACTTATTGTGAAGCTACACCATTATTTCATGAAGATGCTGCCCCAATGTTGCTTGTAGGATTGAATGCTAACTTGTAGGCAAGTTGTCGGTGAGAAAAACCACAATTCGTCGGGGAGAAAAAAACAGTTATATGTATTTTGTGCATATTAGTAGACTCTAAATTTGATTAAGTCTTTGAAACCCCTAAATTGTCAAAATTTTTGGGGGCTTTTGAAACATTTTAAGCGACGCTCGACCATGCCCACTCTGCTTTCGTCGGGGAAATCTCCCTCATCGGAAGCATCGGGCCCCTGTCGGGGACACTGGCATCCCCCGCAGGGAAATCCTAGCGCCATCCCATACTAGAAAATACCATATACAGTATCATCATAACCAAACTGATAGGCCTCCACTATTGTTAGTGTCTTTTTGTATAATAGCGAACTTTTACCTACAATAAGGCAGAGACTATACACTACATTTCAGTCATACAACAGGATGTTTTGCTTTAATTTTCTGAGCCAAATACAAACATTTGTACTTTTAAAACATTAATTTCATATAACATATTTTAATCATTTAGACATAAACTAAGTGACTTTTCATTAAGTGATTTCTAAGCAGTTTTATGAAAATTATTTACAATATGTATATTTAATCAAATTGTTGACCAATTTCCATGTTTTTACTTTTTATACTTTCAATATTTTATTTACCTGTACTTTTAACTTCATTACATTTAATTAAATTACCTGAAACTAATATCTTATCTATATTGTATTTTTTATTTATATGTGATGCTGGGCATTATGTGACAAAACTGCTCTCCACTGAATTTTTCCCTTCACCAAAAAAGAAACTGATGTGGGCAGTGATAACAGACATAAAAATACATCGCAAAATGTCCTTAGTTTAGTACAGAGACTTCCTTTATTCCGAATATTGTCAGTTTTATTATAAAACATGAATAAATATCTTGGTAAAATTTTACACAAATTTAATATAGCTTACTATTATTGAGAAAATGTCTTTGATATAATAATGACTCCAAATACATACCAATATTACCAAGGCTAAATTATATAGACATACTTTGGCAAATTCTATTACTGAGAAAACATAAAGAAAGTATAAATGCTACTGCTTTTTAAAATACAGTAATACCTTAGATGACATATGCATGTTGGAATGACCCCTACCCCCTAAACAGTCCCCATGATTGAATGATCTCTATGGTAATAAAAGACATTAAAAACCAAAATAATTATGGGAACACAGTTTAACCAAGGAGGTACTGGTTTAACTTGTCTATCTACATTTGACATTCTGTCATGCTTGATTAAACATGTCGGATGTTACTTTTCTTTCATAGAATTTATTTGATCTATAAATATTTTGATTTAATTTTTTTAACAAAGCAGAACTATGTTTTGTATTTATACAAATAAAGGTACAATCTTTAGGAGTGTTAATAGCAGCATGAATTACATTGGAACTAATAACAGAGGACAGGCTCTAATGTGTCGGTCTTTTCACTTTCGATAAGAAACAATTAATTCACAAATAATTTTCTCTAAGAAGCGAGTCAACTGATTATGCTTTCCAATGCTTAATTGAGTTTGTACTCTGATAAATTTTTACCACCAATTTTATCATTTCAAAATCTTCAACAATTTGAAAATAAAACACTGCTCAATTGCACATGCTTTTCTGTTTTATGCATGATCTTCAGTGGCGGATTCAAATGGGAGGGTGGACAGGGGCTTCAGCTCCACAACATACAGGGCAAGCCCCCCCATCGGACAGAGCTCGTCGGGCAGTTGGATTAAAAAATATATAAAAATGGCCCACGCCATGCCAGCAAGTCTGTCACAATCAGAGAGTGTCATTTATGGCCATCAAGAGGTTCCTATTCTTAAAATAATTTCATTTGGGAGGGTGATCACCCTCTCAAACCCTTCCCCCAACTCAGGCCTACGAGTCAAGTCCCCCTGTCGGACAGTTCAGCCCCCCCACCCTCACAATATATAATAGAGCCGCCACTGAGGGAGGGCTAGTCGGCTCCCCTCCTTTAAATTTTTCAAAATAAAAATTAAGTGGAGATAAAAAGAATATTATATTCAAATTTTAAGATTCAGAATGCTATTTCTGTGCCATAATCATAAATTTTCTGAACTCAGTCTCAAACATGGTGGGCCTGAGGTATTATAGACTCTCCATCTGTGAAACTCCCTTCCCTATTTCAAATTTCTGGATCCGCCACTGAAATTTATAGTGATGACTCAATATGGTAAATGTAAATCTTCCGTTCAAATTGGACATAATAGTGAAAGAATCAGCACATATTATAAATAACTTAAGTTTTAACGATACATTTTCTACATACAATTCCTACATATACATATTTTTGAATGACATATTAAAGTATTAAAAAAATGTCAACAATGTAAAAATACAAATCAAGATATACATTTCATGTCGTCACTTAAAAAATGTCTTATAAAAAGTATTTGTACACTTTAGGAAAGTCTCATTATTATAATACAAAAGTTGATTGTAGGGGAAGAGCAACCAACCTTTTTCTATCCTACATTATAATCTTGTATTCTACTGACAATATAACATTTTAATGAGACATTCTTCAAGGATATAACATAAACACAATTTATCTGGGTGCTTAAGCTGGAGTAAAATCAAATTTAATGACAATTGACTTGTTAAATAGGTTTAATTTAAATATTATATATGAAACCATGTATGTATCATATGATACTATACAAATACTACACAGTATTAACGTCATTATGGTGTCACAAAATACCACAACATTGTCCTACAATATCATGGAAACAGGAACACAAAATATGTGCCATATACCATTATATGGTATCAAATGGTTTCATATGCCATACCATATGGTGTCATATACAATACCAAATATGGTATAGTATAATGGTGTCATATACCATACCAGTGTATTATTATCCATTACAAGATTTCCATGATTTTTCCCAAACTTTCCCCAGTTGTAGATATTTATAAATTCCATACTTCCAAGTGTTTCCATAGCCAAGAAACACTTGGAAATTTTATGGTTCAAAATTTTGTTAATATATTATAAAAATAAGAATATTTGAGATACATAAATATAGGAATAAAATTTTCATATGACAAAAACAAAGCAACTAAAAAGTACAAAAGGACTTTCAGCATAAATAACAAATATATAATTTTGATCAATTCTCTTTTATTATTACCTATCCAGACCTCCCAAGAAATGGAAATTTAAAGGGAAACTGGAGATAACATTGCAAATATATAATCATTTTAAAAGGGTGTAAAAATTCATACTCATTCAATACATTTTAAAATGTGAGTTGGCAAACATATTCTTTCAATTTATGATAAAAATTTATTTGATAAATTCTATTATATATTATCTAACAATAAAAAAATAATGACTTGGTCGTTACAAAGTAGCACTCCAAACAAGTTTAACTTATTATACTAAAAGATTTGGTTACGTGTTGAAGGGAAAGCATTATGCATTATAGTTGAATACTTAAGAAAAACAGAAGTTTAAAGAGACAATCCTATGCATTAAAAATATTAGAATGAAGTAAATGTAAGGAAAAAAAATGATGACTGCAACAAATTTTGAATCATAATTATATTCCTCCACTTCCTTCCTTTTCATACTTTGCACATCAAGTTCTTAAAAAAAAAAAAAAAAACTTGTTTTAATTGGTAATAAAAACCATTTTTTGTAACAATGACAACATATTTTTAAAATGCCATCTGTATTCAAAGAGTATAGAATTACAAGGGGTTAGACTGCCCCGATTTTTTATGCATGTAATGAAACGTTAACAAATGCACTACCACAAGATATAGCGCGCCCTATTAGAATTCAAATAGGTATGTTCTTTTGAAGGACCTCCTCTAGTTCCTGGTCGTATTTTAAGAGACAGAACTGCGTTTAAATAAAACCTTGAGAGTTAGAGCTTTTGCAGTTCTACACTCTTTGCTGTTTGCTGTATTGGTAAATTAAAATACAGCTGTTTGAACAAGTTGATCACTCACTACCTGCCATAATGTCTCAACCATGCAAATGATTGGGAGGTTCACTCAACCACAACCACATCTATATAAGTTTGTTTTTTTATTAGAATGTACATTTGGTTGAACAAGTCGTGAGTTTGTCCCTTTAATCAATTATATGTATTACACAGTATATTATTTAATGGGAAATACTTTTGTGTTTATGAAATTGAACTATATTATACACATCTATATATTGTTTAATTCACAAATTATATAAATACAAAGGCTAGGTGAGCTTGTTACATCTAGTCTATTGCACAATTCCCTGAGAAGTAGATTGACACCTTCAACATTATCTTTTTATTCTGCTGTACACAAAACAGATCACTAAAATATACATATACAG